CCCCTTTTCCCCCTGCCCCGCGCTGTTTGGTAGAAACGACCGGCCGTTATTGGATTATCAAGAAAACACCTTAAAACACGCCATGACGACAAGAACGCGGGCCGGCCGAGTCACGATTAGCAAGCGGTATATAAATGAACGAACACCAGGTGTGTTGGAACCAGATAGTGCGCCTAATATCAGACGACATGAGCCGAACACTCGTCATCTGCAGCGTGATGGTAGCGATGGTGGTGAGTATGAAGTAGAAAGTAGTCTGTTATTTGGAGAGTTGTGTATGTTGCACACTCGTAGGTGTAAGAAAACGCCCCATTGAGCGTTTTAAGGGAAAAATCTTACGACCCTTAGGTACTTTGGGTGTGCGAATGGGCACTCACACACCTAACAGGTTGGGGACATTCTCACACTCCTTGCGTTTCATAAACTCTTTTTTAAAATTTCGCGCTCGCAGGCCGTGCTGGCGCTGGCCGCGCCCGCCGACAACGGCAAGTGGACGAGAGAGCCCGGCAGCCCGACCGAGCGCAAGACCATCAAGGACGGCATCGGCCAGCAGATCGACTTCACCCACAACGTCATCACCGGCCAGCGCACCAGCGGCTACCTGGCCCTGGGACAGAACGCGCGCATGTCACCAGAGCGCAGGCAGGGGCAGCCCAGCACCGGCGGCCAGCCCTCCACCAGCGAGAAGAAGAAGAAGAGGGGCAAGGGCAAGTAAGGTGCCTGCCAGAGTATGAACACATGAGCACTCTCTCCAAGTGTGCCAAACATTAAAAAAACAAAAAAAAAAACAATAAAACACGGTTTTTATTTTTATTTTTTTCACGGCCAAAAAGATCCTTGTAACTTTTACAACAAGTTTTGTCTGTTGTAAATTTGCGAAATTTTTAAAGGTTTTTCTTTTCGACAGTATTTTTCAGAGCACTGGTTAAACAAGTGTGCACAATTTAAACACCAAACGTGTGCAAGTTATGATGTTGCACATTACATGGTGAGCAATTTTAAACGTTTGCTAAACGTTTAAATTGTGCACACTTGGGCACACATAGTTCTATGCTATCAATAGGAACCATAGGGGAACTTTTCAAAAGTGTCGAAAGTTTAAACATCAATGCACGTTTAACCTAGTTAGACACCACAACGTGTTGAGAAAAGGCACACTTGAACTTAAACACCAATTGACGTGCAACATTAAACACTTGTTTTACCAGTAAGGTGTTTCTTTTAGGGCTGTTGCATTTGTTTACACCTTAACCTTAATTGCTCTACAAAAACAACAAAAGTTCAGCGGAAATCACTGTGGACGCATTATTTCGGGAATCCGACGTATCGTTTGATCGTCGTTTACCAGCCACACTACAGGGATGGTCATTGTTTGCAGCTATGGTTCCCCACCGATATTAGCACTCGGCATAACATTCAGATACATGGCCAAAAAAAATTAAACTTCGCCTTCACATTTCTTAGTCGTTGTGTCTGGCCACCCAGGCGGTCCCACCGCCCCGCACCGCTCCTGCCTTGCGCCCCCAAGTTATTGGCTGTTCGCGCACTAAATCACGGGCGTTAGCGACCGTGACCAGCCGGCGGGGTCGGGCAGGGTGGAGGGTGGTCGGGAGACATCGTGACCACGCGTGACACGCGTATTAGAGAGAGAGAGAGAGAGAGAGAGAGAGAGAGAGGGGAAGGGGGTAACCCGCGACACGTGCGAGCGAAAGTGTGACGCGGCCGCGTTGCATGCGGTCACGCAGCCGAACCGGGGAACAACAGAAAAGTGTTATAAACTCGTCGCTCGTCAGTTATACGCGGTTATACGCGTAGGCGAGCTCCACACGACTGACTTTAAATTTCTCTAGCTTAGCGCAAGTTGAAGTGCACTGAAAATGCAAGTGTGTGAATGACACAATTAATAGAGCAGAGGCGTAAATTTTCCTTTGAAATTCAGATACTTGTTCTCCTGTGTAGAGGCCGAGTTACCTTCAAAAAAACACTGGCACCAAAGATGAGCGGAGTGGGAGTGCCCGAATTTCGGGCTAGTTATAAGTTACGCGTGTGGTACTTTCTCCGTTGTCTCCCACGATTTAGTAAAATCGTATTTTTTTTAAAACGCCATCAAATGCATACCACTTCAATACAAAAGAATGAGAACGACGCAAGGCGTACGGGGCAGAAACTTCCGGGGCAATTGGCTGGCTGCTATGGTTGCGGCTATGCAGCGATGACGACAATAATTACAATAATGGCAATTATAAAATCATTAGCCATTATACTCCAGTGCGGGAATCCGCACAGCACCCTCCTCACGCCCCCCCCCCTCTCTCTCTCTCTCTCTCTCTCTCTGCCAAATCCATTTTGAATCCTCTCTCTCTCTCTCCCCCTCCCTCCCTCGCTGCCATTAGCTCGCTCGCTTTCGCCACAAGGTCCTGCACCCGAGTCTCTCTCTGCTCGCCGCGCCGCCCTCACTCGCAGCCCCCGCAAAGTGGCCGCCTCTGCTCCGGCCCAGGGCGGGGCGGGGTTGGGCGTTCTGCTCACTCGGGGGGCTGCAGCACGTAACCTGACACGCCGGTGAAAACCTTAATCCCACAGCACCGCGCTGACCTCGCGAGGCTCGCCTCTAACTGAACACACACACACCTCCCCCGGACCCATCTTAGTGCAGCACAGCCCGCAGGCTGTTTCAAATAATAGGATCACGGCC